ATCCCCACTGCGCCTGCAGCAGCGCCTGGCGGACGTCGCCGTGGCTGCCGGCGGCGATCGCGTCGAGATCCGCCTCGGAGAGCCGCGTTGACGTCGAGGAGGGGATGGGGATTCGCCGGGAGGCCCCTCCCCCTCCCCCCTTTCGCCCCTTTCCGCATCGGCCGCGTTGGGCGTCAACCGGGGGTCGATAGGGGGGGGGAGGATCCCCTTGACGCCGCTGCTCCGCGGCGAGGATCACCTGGAGGCGCCTCTTGAGGTTGAGGGTTGTGATGGGAGTGCAGTGGAACAACTCAACGGCGTGGCTGTTGAGGAAGGCGCTGGGAAACGCGTCGTGGAGGTCTTTTTTATCGCTGTGCGAGTTGTGCATCGTGTGAATGAAAAAAATGTAATTTCGACGAAGCTGTCCGCTTAGACGCGTCGTGCAGTCGGCGGGATAGCTAGAACTCTCGCAAACATCACGCCGCACCCTCGCGCAGAGCTCCTCGTAATGCCGAAGGAAGGCTAAAGTATTTTGATGCAACGGACTAGTCGACAGTTCCCCATAGAATTTTATGATATGAACATAAATGCTGCCACCCGGCTGTGCAACGGCGACTCCTCCGTCGTGGCCAGCCGGCCCGGATTCAAGTTTTGAAACCGGAGACGACGAAGCCATTGATTTGAAAGAGGGACCACCCTCGGCTGGGGTTTGAATTTTGGTGTTGTGGGTGCTGCTAACAAGGGAAACTCGATAGGCATCATAACCACCAGCTTCAAGTGGTGCATAATTCAGTCGCGCAAGAAGATCGCGTAGCCATTGATGATACCCTGAAGAAGTCGTCTCGCAGGTGTGCAGCTCATTAATAATGAGTCTTGAAGGTGAGGTGGTGATCTCTGCGGTAGATTCCGCCTGCCCATCGTCTGGGAAACGGCCCGTGGGGGCGGTGGAGTTAGAGCGAGAAGGCGAGCTCAGCGCGGGGTCCTCAACACCTCTGGTCGGCGTCCACACACCTTTTCGAGGCGTCATAGACGGTGAGGATCCGCCATCAAACAGAGAACGTAGCAGCACCTTCAGCGAACTCAGCTTCGCGCATCCGGTCGGGCCGTACAACACCACCAATTTCGGCGGAAGTGTACCGCGGTGAATGCCATCGATCAACGCACGCAACGCAACCCGTTTTTGGCGACTCCAAACCAGATCGGATTCCTCAAGAGGGGAATACAACTCGTTTAACATCCCTATGTGTAAAAAAAAAGGAAGTCAAAGGGATAACGGTAGTTGTGCTTTAAGAAAGAACAAAGTTCCACAAAGGAGAGGAAACGCATTACAAGACATGTAAATTAGTTTTGCTTAATCTTTTAGGGTTAGTATTATCACTTTTTTAGGACGTGTGGAGTCGAAAATATCACAGCTGGTCGCACTCATCACTTAAGATATCCCTGCCGCCGCTGATCACCTGGTTCCATCAATAAAGTAAATATTTATTAATCCTGTCTACAAGTCTAGGCATCCTTGTACTTGAAAAATCAAGGTACACATGGGGTACTCCAAAATACAGGAGAAAAGAAGACACCACTAGAAACATGTAAGCCAACTCTAAATAGATAGTTGAGGCAATTAACTGATCGTCAGGGATAAAGGGGGCGGTGCGTTTCGTTCTAATCACACACGACTTATGTCGTTGTTGTTGGGGCGTGAAATCAATGCCTCGACTTCCCCTCTCCCTGTACAGTGCAGTTCCCCCTGCCCCTCGTTTAAGGCGAAGTTGGAAAGCTCAAAAGGATCCTCACATACAAACTCATGCCACTCCTCCACGATCTGGGGACTGGAGTCGGGTTCTTGGATGCCCAAGGTTTCGCGCCGGCGCTTCTTTTTCCGCAACACGCGCTGCACCTCGTCCAGGTGGTCGTCCAGGCAGGCCGGGATGCAGAGCCGCCACGCGTGGAGAAACATCCGCGGCCACCCCCGCACCCCCCCCAGATCCGAAGGGGAGGGGCGTAAAAACGGCGAGGGGACCCCTGCGTAGAGCTCGTCGCCGAGGATGGGGAAGCCGATCGCGTGGCAGTGCACGCGGAGCTGGTGGCGGCGCCCGGTTTGCGGGCAGAGCAGCACCTTCGTGACGGGGATCGCCTCCCCCCGCGTCGGGTGCGGCAGCGTCGTGCGGGCGAGAACATGCAGCAGCGTCGTGCTCGCGCGGGCGGCCGCGCCGAAGACCGCCATCCGCGGCGTCGCCCGCTCCCCCTCCCCCTCCCCCTCCTCCTCCTCCTCCTCCTCC